CCCCCCCCCCCCCCTCTACAGTAAGGACATGGCAACTTTGAGCTCAATTATCTCGGCTCGTTCACAAGCTATCAAAATAGTGTCAACTAATAAAATGTTACAAATGTTATCATTAATGTTTTGTAGTTGACAAATTTTTGATAGCTCTTAAAAGAGTCGAGATATTTGGGCTCAAAGGAACCGAGATGAATTTACTTCTTAAAAGTACATACTTCATGTTTTACGGCAATTTAAAAATTACGGTGAGCAGGATATTAAAGCAAGTCAATTTTTCCCTTACCTATACTTCAACAAAAACGCCAAGCAGATCGACGCAGATCTTGAAACTCCAGCTACACAATGGACCAAGACCTTTCCACCATCCGCAATCAACGCCTGAATCTGATCGGACTGCAATTCCAAATGTGGGTAGATATAGGTCTGTGGAGTGTCCTCAAGCCACAGTTTGGTCCGTTGAATGTCACCGAGACTTCTCAAATTGGGAACTTCTGTGGTCGCATTGATGATGTGTGTGATCTTGTGCTTCTTCATTTCTTCGTTGGATAGGGCTGAGACTCCACAGATGAATAGGCCGGGGACGATTTCTGACATTGCTGCGTACTCGGGGTTTACACGGAATGATAGGGTCATTTTGTCTGGAGTAGGAAGATTTTGATGTTAAGCTTAATGTGGAAGAAAGAAAGAGAGAGAGAGAGAGAGAGAGAGAGAGAGAGAGAGAGAGAGAGAGAGAGAGAGAAAGGGGGGGGGGCTCATATTGACTGAGCTATGCTTGAGCTCAATTATCTCGGCTCCTATAAACGTTATCAACAAGCTGTCCACTGATAAAATGTTCATTATATTATCAGCTACATTTTATATGTTGGCAAATTTTTGCTAGGTTTTACAGAAATTGAGATAATTAAGCTGTTCAGCAATTGTCCCAGAAATTCAAAAAAATCACGTTGAGAGACCAATAGAAAGGTTATCAGTACATCGGGAAGGGGGGAGGAATTAAATTTAGGGGCACGTGACATGAAAAATGAGATAAGAGAGAAGGAAATTGAAATAAAAATGGAGGACTTTGAGAAGACATAGAAATGGGAACATGTGTTGGAAACATTTTGTATAGAAAAGTGATCTTGGATTTTGATCTTTATTTATCTCGGTTCTTATCAGAGATATCAAAAAAGTGTCAACTGATAAAATGTTTTTGAAATTATGGTAAACATTTTATCAGTTTACAGATAGTTGATAGCTTTCCGAGGAAATGAGATAAATTGGGTCAAAGTTGGGAACCAAAGAGGTCCCAAAAAGCAGAAAAATACGAAAAAAATTTTACCAAGCCAATGATCAGAATGAGATGGATGTGTGTCATAGAGTACTTCTACTTCTCTGCGTCTCTCTTTTCTTTCATTTTTCAGCATGTGACGCTCACATGCATTCGAGAAGTCGCTGCTGCTCTGCTTCTCTCTCTCTCTCTCTCTCTCTCTCTCTCTATCTCGCTTCATTCGACCTTGATAGCTGGCTTGAACCATCTGTTGGAAATGGAGAATCGGATCCGATAGGAAGCGGATTTTTTTTGCTTTTGGAGGAGAGATTGGGAGAAGTGAGGAGGCGCAGAGAAATGAGAGATTGGAATCAAAAATTTTATTGGGGACTAGTAGAGTGTAGTGTGAACCGGAGAGCTAAGAATCTTAGAATTTGAAAACTTGGAAATCTAAGAAAGAAGAGCTTGGAAGATATTAGAGGAGTTTGGAAGATCTTAGAAGACCTTAGAAAAGCTTGGAAAAGCTTAGAAGATCTTAGAAGATGTCAGAAGCTCTAAGAATCTAAGAAGATCAAAAAGTGAACAAATCACTATTCCCACAATCACAAGCACGAGAGGTCTGGAGGGACAATTTATAGATGTTCATGACTTTTGATCGCTCTCAGTGCTTTCGCTTCTGTCTCCACCCAACAACATTGTATGTGTCTATTTTATGGGTGTATTTACACACGTGATGATAGTACTCTCCCGTGTCGAAGACTGTCTGTACGTGACAAAAAAGATAGACAAGAAGCGGTGATCTCATGATTTTCGAAAGTTCCAGTTGATAGGGAATCAGAAAGTCAATATTCTAGAAATAACAGTACTCTTCCTTTGAACCAATTTATCTCGGTTCCTTTAGAAGATATCAAAAAGAGGCCAACTGACAAAATATTTATCATAACATCAGAAATATTTTATCAGTCCCAACCCCTCCCCCCTTCCTGTATTAGGCTGTCAATTTAAATCTATGCTTCACGCTTAATTTTCTCGGTTCCTACAGCTAGCAAAAATTTGCAAACTGATAAAATGTTTATCATCATATCAGCAATGTTTTATTTACCACTTTTTGATATCTCTCACAGGAACCGAGATAATAAAGCTCAAAGCTGACAAACCTTGCCTATTACGCTGCCCACCTATACTATCTTGAAACCAATTTATCTCGATTCTTGTAAGAGATACTAAGAAGTGGTCAACTAAGAAAAGCATTATCATAATATCAGCAATATTTTATCAGTTTATCACTTTTTGATATCTCTTAAAGGAACTGAGATAATTGAGCTTAATCGTGAAGCTCAGACGGTTTAAGCGCCGCAGTTATGGCGGCCTACAAGCCCAAAAAACCCAAAATATAAAATTCCAAAAAAACCAAAAAAAAAATCAAAAGAGCAAGACAAAAGTACTATATAATCACGGATCAAGGTGAAAATTTGAGGCTCAAGCTCTCCGGAGCACACCACGACAGCTGCTCCTGTCTGATCAGTGATATGTGTATCCTGGAGGAACAAAAAGGGGGCGGAGCTTAGAATCAGGGGGTCAAAGGGTATTTAGTTTCTAGTGTATGTATCATGCGGAAGGACGTCATCTGGACGGGGCAAATGAGACACGAGTTCTAATTAAGACTCTCTGGAATTAAAGAGCAACCACATGGAAGGGGAGAGAACAATGGAAAATGAGTCATCCACTGGGGGGCAGAATTTCAAATTAAAATGAGGGACTGAGAGATGAGGATCTTTGGGAGTCTTAGATTCTTAGATTCTTAGATTCTTAGATTCTTAGATTCTTAGATTCTTAGATTCTTAGATTCTTAGATTCTTAGATTCTTAGATTCTTAGATTCTTAGATTCTTAGATTCTTAGATTCTTAGATTCTTAGATTCTTAGATTCTTAGATTCTTAGATTCTTAGATTCTTAGATTCTTAGATTCTTAGATTCTTAGATTCTTAGATTCTTAGATTCTTAGATTCTTAGATTCTTAGATTCTTAGATTCTTAGATTCTTAGATTCTCAGATTCTTAGCATTCTTAGATTCTTAGCATTCTTAGATTCTTAGATTCCTAGATTCTTAGATTCTTAGATTCTTAGATTCTTAGATTCTTAGATTCTTAGATTCTTAGATTCTTAGATTCTTAGATTCTTAGATTCTTAGATTCTTAGATTCTTAGATTCTTAGATTCTTAGATTCTTAGATTCTTAGATTCTTAGATTCTTAGATTCTTAGATTCTTAGATTCTTAGATTCTTAGATTCTTAGATTCTTAGATTCTTAGATTCTTAGATTCTTAGATTCTTAGATTCTTAGATTCCTTAGATTCTTAGATTCTTAGATTCTTAGATTGTTTTTGGATTTTATGGTCCATTTATAGCCCAAAAAGCCGAAAAACCCAAGAGCCAAGTCTCATAGATCAAAACAAAAATTCTGGAATTCTCCATGACTCATATTTTCACATATTTCAGAATTCATAAATAATTACTTTTTGCTTGTTTTTTGTTTTTTTTTCTTCCACCCACAACTCCACTATATTATTGTTTATAAAAGAGAAATCAGCTGACATTTTCAGCCTGAGCAATCAGAAATTGGATATTCCTGTATTCGAGAAAATGTACGAAAAATCATTATGTCTAGAGAGAAAAAAGACAGTCACATGTTGCCGAAAATCGAGGGTCGACCTAAATTTTTAAACACAAAAAGAGAGAGAGAGAGAGAGAGAGAGAGAGAGAGAGAGAGAAAATTCGAGGGAGTTAGAGAGAACGAGAATTAGAGAGAAAGAGAGAATAGCAGAGTTTCTGTTGTTGACCATTTTGATGAATGAATGGCAGATGGTGAAATGGGACTTTCGGGCTTTGCAGATGCATATCGTCGACCGCGGTCGACCACGAGCTACTCAGATGTCAGGCCGATAAAAAATATGGGGAGAATTCGGAACTTCAGAATTTTTGAATCTGGAAAATTAAGAAATTCGGAAATTCGAAATTTTTAAATTCAGAAAATCCTTAATTCAGAAGATCCTCAACTCAGAAAATCCAAATTTCAGAAATTCAGAATCTCAGAAAATCATAATTTCTGAATTTCTGAATTTCTGAATTTCTGAATTTTTGAATTTCTGAATTTCTGAATTTCTGAATTTCTGAATTTCTGAATTTCAAAATCTCAGAAATTCAGAATCTAAGAATATAAGAATTCCAGGATTTCAGATTTCTAGAAGGCTCGACACCAAAATCCAAAACATCAAATCCAAAAAATGGTTGCTCATTCTTTGTAGGGTCAAATAAAGCACATTGTCTTTTTTCTCTGAACTCTCTCTATTTTCCACACTCTCTCATCTCTCTATAGAAAGTTCGAAAGTTCTTTCTCTTGTTAAGTACACAAAGGTGCGAAAAGAGAGAGAGAGAGAGAGAGAGAGAGAGAGAGAGAGAGAGAGAGAGAGGCGCAGAGTTTTTTGGATGGTTTGATCTGACACGAAAAAAGAAGAAAGACAAAAAGATCACTATGATTTTTTTGTCTTCATTTTTAATTTGATATGAATCTATTGGAAAATCGGAAATTGGATTTGTCACAAATTGTTTTTTTGGGGGAAAAAAGCAAGTGGCGTGTTTTAGGGAGGCGTTCCACATCAGCCAACATTTTTAGAAGATGATATGGGGACAATGAAGGCGTGAAGAAGAGTGATCAGGTTGAACGGAAGTTTGATTGATAGTGATAATGATAAGGAGAAGGGAAAAATAGAAGGTGTTGAGAGAAATTTTGGGGAGAAGAGGAAGAAGAAGACGTCAAAATTGACATTCAGGGATTTTAATGAGTGGTACTGTACTTTTGATTTGCCAAGCCTCCCTGCCGTAATCCCGAGGAAGAGCTACAGTAATCTACATTAAGGTGCAGTGGACTTACGGTCCGCAGAAATCCCTGAATGGGGTTTTTTCACTAAGCTGGTAAAGAGCTACAGTAATCTACAGTAATCCTTTTTTGGATATCCGATTTGTTAGGACTTTTAGGAACTTCGCAGTTTTCCGAGTTTTTAAAGTTGGAATTGCAGAATTTCAAAGTTTAAGATTTTTCAGAATTTCAGAATTCCAGAATCTCGGAATCCGAAAATCAAGAAAAGGGGTCCATTTTTCAAAATTCCATCCAAAAACAAACCCCAATTTTTTATTGGTGTTTACTCTGTTACATTACAATAATAACCAAAAACCACCAGTCAGAACAATAAGAATCTATTGTTCGCTTTCTGTTTTTTTTCTCTATTATTCCATTTTTTAGGTTTTTAGACTTTCAGACAACATGTGGAAAAAACAAGAAGTCCGAAAGGTTGTGGTTTTTGAAATTTCTAGAAATCGACATTTTT